TGCTTATTCTGTTATTTTGCTTACCTTTCTAGCTTGGATTAAGTTATAATTTTTGCTGACTGGGCTTGAATGAGACTTGTATTGGCTTAGTAATTGACTTTAATGAGAAACAAATGTATCCAAATTTTAATCCGAGGCATTCTATTTTCAAAAAAGGATACTGGAAAGTTCGAATAAAAATAGATTTATTAGACTTGCTTTAAAATTTGACCAAATACCATGGGTTATGTATAGGGTATTTTGTCAAAAAAATGGCTACAAAAGAATTCCTCATTTTTATAATTTTAAAAATACATATACAAAATTGAAAAGGAGAGAATTCTTCATTTTTATAATTTATTCTGATACATGCATATACATGTTCTTATGTTCTGTATAAATTTTTTGATAACTTAGATCAAAATTAGATTTTTAAAGTTGCTCCCATGTACACTGTATATTGTCAAAATTGATAGAAGTGAATGTTAAATTTTATGATTTTTTGCTGTTGTATGATAGATAATGGTAGAGTTGCATTTTACGTGAAGATTGAATTTTGAATTTAAGTCCTTTCGTCCACTAGAATAAACATTAAGGCTGACCTACTACTGTTACCTACACAACACATAAAGCATTAATTGATAATGAGTAAAAATACACTTACTATTGCAAGTAGGCAGGGCTAAAATAATAAATAAATAAGCTCACGTGAAAACACGTGGGTTAACGAAGTTTTGTTGCTCTTTGACTTTGACTGTTTTCAGGAGTGTTCTTTGTGCTTTAGTAAGTTAAGTTTCTTTTAGTAATATTAGGTTTGATGCTAAGGAAATGCCCTGCATGGATTGTATTTGATATGAGGATAGAATGTTATCAATACCATGCATGCTCTAGATCTAGATCTAGTACTAATAACAGTTTCAGTTTCATCTTCAAATAAATGATATTATTTCCTTTATTAAGTGCATACACGACAGCTAGCGTTTAGCTACATCGACAACTCCTGCTCGCCATGTCTCTACTTCCCATTAAAGTCATTCTTTTTCTTCTTCTCTTATTTTGTCTTGTAGATGCAGGAAGAGCTATTACAATTAACAGTGATGATGAACTGGAGTTGTACTTGTGCAAAGAAAAACAGGTGTCTCATTTCACTCTCAATCAAACCAGTTTCAAGTTAAAAAAAGGCCCTGTATGTCAGCTATCACCATCTCAAGAAATAACCATTGCTCCAAGTTCAGGTATTAGTAGCAGTATCATTTATTGTGAGTATACACCCAATGTACAAAACCAGAGCCGTAGAGGAATTGCTTTTGTTGATTCCTATGTAAGCATTAGTAATGTCAACTTTGAAAATTGCGGCATGCTTTTGAAAACTATAGATAGTGATATCATGCGCCATATAAACGAATCCTCTTTTCAATATTCTATCCACCACTCTGCAGTACTTGTGTTTGTACACTGTGAAGTCAATTTGACTCATGTACAGGTTATAAATTCATTTGGTTTTGCTGTCATTGGAGCTAACATTTACAACTCTACTTTAAGCAACCTTAATATCTCTGCTCCTGAGACGAATTTCACCTTGTGGAACACAAGTGTAGGCAGTGGGATATTGCTACATTATTTTAATGATGAAGAATATGTATGTGATAACAATTCTTATTCAGCTACAATAAACAGATCATTTTTTAGCAATAACCTAGATTATGGTGAGACAACAAGTGAGCCACTCATAGCAGTAGCATATAAGAGTCCAGTTACCATGGTCAACGCTGCTGGGCTGACTGTCATTGATACTCTGCAGTGCGAGGGGGTTGGTACTAGCATTACTATTGACAACTCGGTCTTTGAATATAACTTTAAATTTGGCTGTCCATCAGGAGGTTTGCTAATTATTCAAAATAGCACTTTAAATTCAGAAGTTTTGATACAAAATTCAGTTTTTGATCTCAACGTTAATCTTTTATGTCACGGTGGAGGCCTGGCATACTACTGGCTGAATATTGAGAGTGAGTATCAAGAGCAGTCAACTTCTGTTACTCCACTGACAGTATTCAATACAACCTTTGCAAATCATACAGGCATACAGATAGGAGCACCAAATCCTATAGGAGCAAGAGCAGCAGTTTTCATAGGGATTGTACACTCAATGGACAAATTAAATATTACTATTGTCATGAAGAAATGTCATTTTGAAAATAACACCAACCCGTCAAGAGGTAATGCTCTATACTCAGTCATGTACAGTAAAAGGAGCCTGGCTTCAATTCTACTGATAGACACTGTCGCTGAGGGTAATTCACAATATGCAAAACATTACCGCTCTAACTCATATTCTGGGACACTATACTTCCACGGTATTGATGTATTTGTTAGAGGCCAGTCAAATTTTAATAACAACTATGGCTCTGTTCTGGTTGGACTTGACTCCAGCATAATGATATCAGGAGAAGCAAATTTTACTAACAATACTGGCATTATTGGTCCAGCGATACAACTGCAAGGAAATGGCTACTTAATTTTTGAAAACTCTAAGATAAATTTCACTAACAATCATGCACAGTCTGAAGGAGGTGCCATTTATATTCAGTCATCTCTTCCCACCAGATTCAGATGTGTCATTTCCATTGACAATAGCAGTCGCTCCTCATATATCAATTTCACTAACAATTCAGCCATTTCTTCAGGTAGCTCAATTTATATAAATACATTAGAGCCTTGCTATGCTCATTTTGCAAAACATTACTTAACAAAAGCAAAGGATGTCCTCAAATATTACTCCAATAGTTTCATAATAACTGAAAGGAACAATAACTCACGAGTAGCAATATCTACTCAGCCAAAGGAGCTCTGTGTGTGCTTCCTCCACAACTCTACATCGCAATGTAAGACCTTCATACATGAGCCTACTTATCCTGGCAGGACTGTCCAGTATGACATGTTAGCAAAGGACAGTACTAGCAGGAGTAATATATACACTCTCGTCGATGTTGACATTAATTCACGCAATTCCAGTCATTCGCTTTACTTCTTGCATGAGACCAGGCACTACATTAGAGAAAACAGGCATCCTTGTACACTTGTTAAATTCAAAGTCACCAGCAGGTGGGAGTTTAGCGAGTCACTTTATGGAGACGTTAGTTTCTCACTTCCTGGCAGCAATGTGGTAGCAACTAGCTATATAAAAGTGAAGCCATGTCCTATGGGGTTTGAGTTTGACTCTAAATCTCGTATATGTGAATGCTCTAAAGTTTTAATGACTTTCGCTGGGATAAAGGAATGTAGTATAGAGAATAGTGTGATTAAGCACCCAGTAGATAAACTGATAACTATATGGGCTGGAAAAACGCATTACTCAAATGGGAAGTTAGCAGTATCTCTGGAGTGCCCACAAGGATACTGTCACAACGAACTGAAAAATCTATGTGGAGAAGATGATACTATTTCTGTGACAAGTGAGAATTTTAACAGCAATGAAAGCTGTACGAATACTTCACATTCATTTTGTTTGTACAACAGGGCTGGTGCCCTTTGTGGTCAATGCATTGAAGGCCAAAGTGTAGTATTTGGGTCTACTGAATGCAAGCCATGCAGTAATTTATGGCTATTGACAATATTGATATATGTACTAGCAGGCCCACTATTCATTTACATGCTGTATGCTCTGAAGTTAACACTGACCACTGGCACAATCAATGGCATCATATTTTACGGCCAAATGACGAACGTCGGTATAGTTGATCTTTTAAAAATTTTTGCTTTCTATTCAAATGATGCTAGTATCGTTTCAAGCGTTGCTTTATTCTGCCTTTCTCTGACAAATGTTAGTATAGGTCTCCCACTCTGTTTATACGACGGGCTAACAGAAACTGTTAAAGCTGGCTTAAATTTACTATTTCCCCTGTATCTACTGTCAATAGTTGTTTTCCTTATTATCCTCAGTCGTTATTCTCTAAAGATATCCAATAGAATAGCAGATTCATCTGTACAAGTATTGGTCACAGTTATTCACTTCTCCTTCTCAAGATTATTAATTGGAGTTATTGATGTTTTTACACGGGCACGAGTCTTTACTGAAACAAGCAATCACACTGTTTGGTTTTTTGACGGCAATGTAGAGTATGGAAAGAAATATCATCTACTTTTGATGATCATTACAGTGCTTATTGTCTCAGCATTGCTATTACCTTATACACTAATCCTTCTCTTTGCTAGACCGCTTAGACGGACTATACTCAATCCATACACAAGACCATATCTCGAAGCAATCCATGCTCCATACAAAACTGGTCAAGAATACTTCTTTGTGTTTCAACTGATTCTTGTTTTTGTGGTGTACGTTGTGTATGCCACATATCGATCAAGCGACTTATTATATTTATATGTGATCAATGTGCCCCTTCTTGCAGTATACTTGATGCTCCACACTTATTGTAAGCCATTCAAGTCCAAAGGTGCTAATATACTGTACTGCTGGCTAATGCTTAATGTACTTTTAGTGGGAATGACGACTTGGTACTTCCTCATAAATATCCACAAAGATCTTTTTACATTAAAAGTGATAGTCTCGTCTGCCATCTTCCTTGAATTCATAACATTTGTTCTCATCATCATTTATCATTTCTTGTGGGTGACTGGCAAGATCCCATTTATTACAGGGAAGATAGAGCTGATACATGCAAAAATACAGACTAGAAATGAAGAACGGGTTTCAAGTATCAATCGCAATGATTGCAATGGCTCATTTTACCAGTCAGTCAATTACAGAGAGCCAATGATCAGCTCTATTGCATACTAACAAGAGTTCATAACACTAAGGTTGCATAAATGATTAATTCTTTTGTATTTTTAACTTCTTACTTATACTTAACTGCTGAATTTATAGTTTTTCTATTTTGAGTGGTAGTGTTTATCTTAATTGCTTGTTTACAATGTTTTAATTTGAAAGATTTTCTCAAATTTTTGCAAACCATGTGAAGCCACGTGGTGATAGGCGGGGCTAATTAAAAATTGAGGGTGTGGCATAAAATTATTACACATGGCCGCTGCTCCTCGCGCTGTTAAACGTTACTGAAACGTTTTACATATGCTGTGTCATTCTTTGTCCACTCCTGCTCCCTTTTGTACAGTCACTGAGTCTCTGGAAGAATGACCACCTGTACAACGCAGCAGCCCTGGTTTGAGGTATTTAAATATTATTCAAAATGGCGCCAATTTTATCCTTTTCATAACATAGGAAAGTTGCAGTGTGGCTGATGATGTGGATGATTTATTGGCATATTCTGATCCTACGCCAAATTTATACTCAGTTCCTAGTAATAGAGGAGGAACCGACCAAATCGAGTAAGGACACACCTCTAATAATTATTAATTAATTATATTTTTAAGCGTCTATTGTATTATGCTGTGTATTTTACTATTCATAGGTCACTCGTTCAATTAAATCTTGATCTACAGAACAGCTTGTCTGCACTGAGGGAAGAGTACGATATTGTATACCAGGTTCGTTTATACTGTATTAATCATTCACTGTTACAGTGTGTTTTATTATTGATCTAAAGTTTTGATAGAATATCTTGTACTGTATCAGGGTTCTGCCCAGAAAAAAATTAGAGGTGGTTGGAGACTATTATAGTTCCTTTTAAATTCATGTACACCATACTAGTAGACTACAATATCATACTTTATGTATGGTTATTAGTATTAATTGGATGGTTGGTCTAAGTGATGAACTGGTTGGTTCATTTGTTGAGGTGGTTGTCCCGACCACCATAGACAGAAATATGCAGTATGCATTCACATAATAATGTTATGTACTCGTCCACACATGTCATGTATATGTACAAGCATTTTATTTATATGCTCTGATTTACATTAACAAGTGTTTCTGTGTCCTCTCATTGATAGGAGAAGAATCAGCTACTGATAGATAACAAGTCCCTCCAAGAGCAATGGGAAAGATTTCAAGATGACAGATATCAGCAAAAAGTACTTACATAGCATGTAATAGGAGAAGTTCATTATCTCTCTATTTCTATCTCTTCTTTTAGGCATACATTGAGCAATTGGAAGCCGAGCTCTACGAAAAGAGAAAGGAGCTTGCTTCTCTCAAGAAAGAATCGGAACTAACCAAAGAGTAAGTGTATTCTTTTTTGTACAACCACACTACCAGTCAGTAATTACTTTACTTATTTTTTGCCAGAAATGTTAAGTTGAAGAAACTGGTGAGGAGACTCAGGCAAGAACAAAAGTACAGCAAAGTCACAAGTAAGACCAAGAGCCTTGGTAAGACTATTATTGTTATGCTTCTCTTAATTATACTGTCTTCTGATTGTACGTAAACAATTGCATTTACTTTTCTTTAGGTACTAATAGTCCTGCTAATAAGAAGAGGTATGACTGGTCTGTTGATGATGACGATAGTTTAGAATCAGCACCAAAACGAAGGACCCAAGACTCTGACACAATGTCAGTGATCGTTCTGTCACCTGAAGAAGATCCAATGGAGAGTCATTCGCCAGAGACTCCTTTTATAGACTTTGAAGTTGCTACACCTTTACCAGGCAATGGGAATCATTCATCCACTGCATCACCAATGCCTCCTGTATCTCCATTGCTGTCTGCATCAGTGATTGATAATGGGGACTCAACCATACCTACTGTGAATAATGGTCAGTTATTGGCTACAGCATCACCCATGGCATCATCTATGCCTTTGTTTAACGATACTCCAGTTGGATCACCGAGATCTTCTGTAGTCTCCGTACCAGTATCACAAGTTCCTGTACCGGTATCACAAATTTCTGTACCAATATCACCAGCTCCTGTACCAGTATCACCAGCTCCTGTACCAGTATCACCAGCTCCTATACCAGTATCACCAACTCCTGTACCAGTATCACCAGTTTCTGTACCAGTATCACCAGTTTCTGTACCAGTATCACCAGTTTCTGTACCAGTATCACCGATTCCTGTACCAGTACCACCAGCTCCTGTACCAGTATCACCAGTTTCTGTACCAGTATCACCAGCTCCTGTACCGGTATCACCAGTTTCTGTACTGGTATCACCAGCTCCTGTACCGGTATCACCAACTCCTGTACCAGTAGTCAATGAAACCTTGACGCCAGAAAAATCTCCAGTATCTTCAGTGACCAGTCTGTTATCACCCATGGATCAATCTCGGTATCCATTAGCTACTATGAGTCCATCAACTATGAGCAATGAAGAAGAAGAAGATGATGATGATGATGATTACTTTGACGATTATCAAGAAGTTTTATGCAAGATCACGTCACTTCCATTATTGCTCTCTCCATTACCTCCCTCTCCTTCTCGTTCTCCTCCTCCTTCATTACAAGCTCCTTTTCCCTCTACTTCACAAACTCCTTTACCCTCTACTTCACAAGTCCTTCTTTCTTCCTCTTCACAAATTTCTCCTTCAACTCTTAATCCTCAAACTCCTTCCATTTCTCCTTTATTGTCTTTAAATCGACGGCTCTCTTCTCCTATCACTCCCCTCCCACCCTCTCCTTGTGTAAAAGCAGCTGCTCCTAGTGGTCCTTTCTCTGCTGGTCTTCCTCCTTCTAGTTGTCGTGTGAATCTACTCAAATCATTTTCTCAAATATCAGAGTCTAGTTCTTCAGTCAGTCGGCAGTGCGTAGTAGATGAAGGTGGTGAATCTAATCACGATAAAATCATAATGACTAATAGTGATGAAGATGATGAGATGGGATGGGAGAGTAATTGTAAAGAAATGCTGTCGCTTCCTTCGTTGCTTTCGCCACTTCCATCTACTCCTCTCCCTCCTCCAGGCGTCCCTAGTTCCACTATGCAGTGCGTTAATAAACCTTTTAGTCCTTCATTTTCTGGTCAATCAGAATCACGGGTTGAGAAAGAGCCCGATCTCAGAGAAGAGGCGGAGCATGAAGATAGTGCTGATTTAGTGATTGATATTGATCCTGATATCAAGTTTGATTCCATTGAGTCCTCCTTGTCTCAGCCTCTAGACCCACTGATAGCTCCAATGACTCATAGCACTGAGAGTTTAATGGTTGATGTGGTCGCTGTGGGATATACAAACTTACCCAATGATTCTCCTTCTTTATCTGAGACCAATACACGCCATCATTCTGACTCCGAGCTATCTTCTACTAAAGAGGAGATCATGAAAGATGTACACAGTAAAAAAGAGAAGGAGACAGTTCCAGATAATGCTACTGGCCAGTGTATTAGTACGGCTGATGACCTCCTGTCTCCTACCATCCAAAAAGCTCCACCTCTCCCATTTCCTCCTCCTCCTCAATCTTTTCTCTCTCCTGCCCAGCCATTGCCAGTGTATTCACAGTCACAGTTAGAGTTACCTGATTACATGAAGTGCTCTCATCCACTCCCTCACTGGCTGATATACTCCATGAAGCAAGTCCAGGATAAGAAAGAGGAGATGCTGTATACTGCTTCTGGTGGAAGTGCAAAAAAATGTGTCCTCTTTCACTCTGATCGTAAGTTTTAGACTATTGTATTTCTGATATATTTTATTATTGTACTATTTCTCTTTCTCTCTCTCTCTCTCTCTCTTTGTTTTATGTAGCTACAAAGCCAATCAAGAAAGCAAAGAAGAAAAAGATTTGGAACTTTGTGTACGAGTCTCTCACAATGCTAATGAATGGATCGTTGCATCTCTCAACTGTCGTGCTTATGCTAACAAATAAGAAATCTGTAGCATCATGTCACTATAAAGCTGTTGTAATAGGGATAATAAAGGTACGTGTATTGTTAATAATAATGATGCTAACGAAAATTGTGACCTTTTTTAAAGTTTAGCTCTGAAATCACAAAGTTTTAGTTACTGATTTTCACTTTAATTTTTGAGTTATGGCCATTTTAAAAAATGTGCTTATTAAAAAAATACCCTATACTATATAGCCCATGGTTTTTTCTGAAAAATGCTCTGAAATTACCCCCAATTTTTTATTACATTTTCTTATACATATTGATGTACTTATGCTATGTAGAAAGTTTGAGCTGATTCTGACTTAAATTTTTCAAGTTATGGCCATTTTAAAAATATGCCGATTTCTGAAAATTTCCCTGTACTATAGCCCATGGTTTTTTCTGAAAAATGGCTCCGAAATCACCCCCACTTTTTATTACATTTTCTGATACATATTGATGTCCATATGCTGCGTAGAAAGTTTGAGCTGATTCCGGCTTAAATTTTTCGAGTTATGGCCATTTAAAAAAATTATGCCGATTTCTGAAAAATACCCTGTACTATAGCCCATGGTTTTTCCTGAAAAATGGCTCCGAAATCACCCCCACTTTTTATTACATTTTCTGATACATATTGATGTCCATATGCTGCGTAGAAAGTTTGAGCTGATTCCGGCTTAAATTTTTTGAGTTATGGCCATTTAAAAAAATTATGCCGATTTCTGAAAAATACCCTGTACTATAGCCCATGGTTTTTTCTGAAAAATGGCTCCGAAATCACCCCCACTTTTTATTACATTTTCTGATACATATTGATGTCCATATGCTGCGTAGAAAGTTTGAGCTGATTCCGGCTTAAATTTTTCGAGTTATGGCCATTTAAAAAAATTATGCCGATTTCTGAAAAATACCCTGTACTATAGCCCATGGTTTTTCCTGAAAAATGGCTCCGAAATCACCCCCACTTTTTATTACATTTTCTGATACATATTGATGTCCATATGCTGCGTAGAAAGTTTGAGCTGATTCCGGCTTAAATTTTTTGAGTTATGGCCATTTAAAAAAATTATGCCGATTTCTGAAAAATACCCTGTACTATAGCCCATGGTTTTTTCTGAAAAATGGCTCCAAAATCACCCCCACTTTTTATTACATTTTCTTATATATATTGATGTACTTATGCTATGTAGAAAGTTTGAGCCGATTCTGACTTAAATTTTTCAAGTTATGGTCATTTTACATATGCATGTACATGCATGGGCATGCACATTTGACTCTATACAGTTGCTTGACCTACTTCTCTTTCTTTAGTTTCTCAGGCAAGGCTATCACCCATTATACGCTGCTTGGAGGGGCCTTTCTCTGGAGAAAATAGGACAGATAAGAAAAGGGATCCTTGACCCACTCAACTCCCACTACCCTCCTCCACTCCTCCCACTAGAGACGCTGATAATAGCACTAGTCATTAACATACAGTCCATTCACCCTCAACTCATAACCGAGCTTATGAATCAGCTCTACGATGAGATATTCTCAACCAGTTTGACCTTCCACAACGCTTGTGCCATGTGGTAAGACTAATACTACAATTTTATTATATATTTCATGTATTTTTTTTCTTTAGTCGCATATACACTGCCCTTGGTAGATTGCTGTCTGGTTTGGATCAGATACAAGGCCTTGTTTGTGAGCTGATTCTCCAATCAAAGCAGCTAGGACTAGTTGAATCGGTTGCTAGTGTCTGGCCTTATTCTCTATCTCGTGCTACAGGGAGCACATCACCTCCGCTGTTTGTTAATAACAGGCTACAATCACAAGGTCGGTATAAAAAATGACAACATTTCATTGATCATGTATTTATTTGTAGGACTGGAGTATCAGCCACTGAGCTTCACTTTGGAGGCTCTGGCAGGCGAGGGTTTATTTAAGAAAGATAAATCGACTGTCACTGCAATGAAGAACATATCAGCATTCTGCAAATGGCAGCAAAATGTGAATAAAAATATTTACTTAGTATAAAAAATATAAATTTTAATTCTTGTTGTTTGTAGTTGTCATCAATGATTAGAGACTCCCTGACCGAGTGCTTGATTGATATGCTCAAAAACAGTTCCTCTATATCAATAAAAGTGGCCCCAGACTCTAAGCCATACCCGAGCAGACATGCCTGCACTATTGTCCTGGCACTGAGGCTCCTCTCCAAAGTCAGAGGATGGAAGGAGTGGACCAATGATGTACTGATTAGGCACTATACCTGGCCAATATTGCAGCAGTGGAACAAGGAGCCAGAAAGCGTGAGGGAAGCCACTGTTGTCTGCCTTATTAGACTATTAGGTTAGCTTTATTATTATAATTATACATTAGAAGAACATTGGCTACTATTTAAATTTTAATTTATTGTTTCGTTTTTAGGATTTGTTGGCCAAGAAGGGCTTGATAATTCAAACTCGCCATCAATTAATCAATTGCAAAAGGTTTTACTTTCAATACTAAAGAAAAGGTTCGAGACAGCCAAAAAAGGTATCGGCGTCCCACAAAGCATGCTGCTCACTTGCTCAGTGAAATATTAAAAGCATGCTTTATGTACAGTGGTCATGTGCATGTATTGCCTGTGCTCTATCTTTAACATGTTTTACCTCTTCTTTTTCCCCTTCTCTCCCCTCAGCTACTTTAGCTGTTCAAATTGCAGCTGTTGATTCACTAATAGAGCTCTGTCCTCCGACTCATTCTAATTACCCGATGGTCCACCCTGTTCTATTCCAGTGGATCCAATCGTTAAAAGAATCAAGTGCTACTGCATCAATTGCCTCTGAGTACAGTGGGAAATGCAAATTAAAGCACCACAAATCATATTAGCTTTACTCTTTGTCTGTTATGTCTGTTTAATGTGTAATTTATTTCATGATTTTCTTATAAGTTATTTCTTACTGGTGGAGCAGTTCTGCTTGCCTGGTATGTATATGTTTTATGTCAGGGCTTGGTGGGGGCAGAGCCCCTTCAATTAATGGTTTACGTGTTCTACAATGAGACAAACAAGTCTCATATAGGCTTGTGTAGTGTTAAAGTGTAAGTACAATGGTTTCAATGGTGTTTCATCTTCACTATTCTAATTTCTAACACTATCAATACAATGTATGAACTAAATTTTTACTCTTAATACAACTAAGTCTGAAAGTACTTCAAGTCTTGCTTGGACTTGAATAGGAGGGTTTATGCTTTCAGTTGAAAAGCTTCCTGCATCTCGTAAATATTTTCCGTGTTTTCTTGAGAAACTGTGCTTAGATCTATACCAATTGAGTTCCTTCTCTTCCTTGATGATACAATACAGCCAAAGACAATAGCCAATATGACCAAAAATGCTATTATGCTGCATGTTATGCACATTATTGACACAACAGCTACTGCCACTCCTGATTTGCCAGCGTGATCTGTGGAAAATGTAAGCAGCAGATAGTCTACATAATGTATGCATTATTACATACTATTGTCTGGGGGTATGTTAGTAGAAGGAATTGTGGGCTTTGTAGAATGGCTTGAAATTACTAACAAGAGGAAACTACATCCCATGTATTATTACTATTACTTACAATTTTCTGAAGAAAATAACAAATTGCGTGTAGACATTGTGAAGTAGCTTTCAATTGAAGTCAAATGAATTTTTGATGAAGCATAGATTGACCTAGAGGGGCCTGAACACAGCTAAATCAATGCATCCATAGTCTATGCACAGTCTTACTTATTTGAGCACTTATTTCAACAGTAACTAGTGGGAAATCATTTTCATACATATGAAATATTTTATTTTCAATGGTTGAAGGAGCATATTTAGCTTGAATCATCAGATTGGCTGGTCCACTTGTTTTCTGTTCATACAATTCTATTTGGCTCTTTTCTGGAATTTGAATGCCAAATAAGTCTCCTTTGTTAAACTCTAATGGGTTTTGAGGAATATGCTCATACAGATTGTTACCAATGCTTCTTATGGCGTTCGGCTTTAACAAACTAGAACCTTTTTTGACGTACATTGACCTACTGAGCTTTTTCCATATTTGCAATTCTGGTAGCTTTGTATTTACTAGCCAATTAGGGTCTTGACTAAGATCATAGGTAGCTCCAAAGATCCATTTAGTAACTGACCCACTGCAAGAAAACTTGATCTCTGGATAAATGTATTGCCTCATTTCTTGTATGACTTCTGAATGATGAATTTTAAGAGCATTCTCAATGACATCAGTGGGCTTGATCGAATTAAGACTTTTAACACAGTAATCATCTATAATGAGGAGTGAAATATTATCATTACATAATATTAAATGCCTTTACCTGTAACTGGATAAACTAAAATAAAATGCTTAGTTTTAATGCAATGATCATCATCAGTGCAACCAAGAACTTTACTATTAAAAGTATATCGGTTGTTGGATATAGCAAAGATCCTGACTGTGCTGTTCTTTCTGTCTGGCTGTGATACAGCTAACAGATCTCCCCTCATTACTGGTATAGGAGGATTAAATGGATATGCAAAGACTCCACTAGTACTGACATTAGTGGTGGAATAGTAGATAACTCTCTCACTCACAACATCATATTGTAAGCTAGATCTTTTTCTTGATCGCAAAATTTGGACTTTAGGAAAAAGCTGAAATGTGAGGCTTGATCTTACATCAATACCCAGGATAAGATGAGTTATTCTGGTGTACGAGCAATTGAATCTGTACTCTTGTAGGATTATGGTCTCTTCTCTTAAGATATAGCCTTCAGACTCACTCCCAATATGCTCAGCTCTGTACTTCACTAATGATAAGTCCATGAACCTCTCTGTGCACTGTTGTGCTGAGCCTACATTAATAAATGCAAGTGTAATAGTATGCAAATGTAATAGTAACAGTTTAACATACATTTAGAGGACTGAAGTACCAATAGGAGAAGACAAAACATGTTGGTGATAGCATTCATTGTGACTAAGGAAATATTGAAAGTTCCTGCAGGCAACTATGTTTTATACCGAGGTAATGGACTGTCTATCAGTGATTTTATACTGTTCTTAGAGCAGCCCGTGAGAAGCTCATGCAGCACCAATTAACACAAATCAGCACAGATCATGCAAGTCATAAGATAGTCTGGCGCAGCCAGACTATCTTATGAAAAGGGGTCTGGCTGCGCCAGACTATCATAAGATATGGTAGAAAATTGATTTAAATAGATCAACCTAATATTTTTCAAGTATGATTGCTATCTATATAAAGTCAACCTGAAACAAGAAGGATACTGACCCTGGCTGCATGTGTTGTATTATTTTAATATGCATTAGTTAATAAAACCACAAAAATGCAGCATTTGAGGGGCAGAGTTAGGGGGCAGAGTCTACCAAATATGGCGTTGCAGAGATCTATAAAAAATAAACACAGAATAAACGTGAGTTTAATACCTTGTTGCTACCTTGTAAATAGACTTTTTTCCTTTTGTATGCAATAGGTAGTTTTTATTGGTGATAAAGACGTTGGAAAGACCTCTTTATTTGAACTATTCCGGAGCCATAAAGTTTGTGAAATGACACAAAGCACCGTTGGTCTTAATGTTCAGATTATAAACATGGTACCAAGACAAAGGAATGTTACAGTCGAGGTAAACATTGAAACTAAGCTACACTGGCTAATTATACATGCAATGAATCATGGCTAAAGTGTCCCACATGGTGCATACATCCATTTTATACAGAATGATAGTTAACCTACATCAGGGTTTCCCACAAAGCATGCTAAGTGAGCTAAGCAGTATGATTCAGCACTACAATACAATACATGGCAGTTGGAGCAAATTTAAAAGTTCATAAAAAATCCAAACTTGATCCGAATCAGCTCAAACTTTCTACACAACGTAAGAACATGCGTGTGTATTAGAAAAATTATTAAAATGGTGATTTCTCTCCTAGTCATTTTTGGCAAAATTTGGCCTGATTTTGGAGCAACTTAAAAAATTAATAAAAAATCCAAATTTGTCCAGAATCAGCTCAAACTTTCTAATTAAAAGAATGTGTACTGTACAAGTATCAGAAAAAATTATTAAAAATAGAGAATTATTTCTTAACAATTTTTAATGGAATTTGGCCATGAATGACTGACTGTACAGGGTTAGTTAGCACTATACCAAAATTCTTTGGGAAACCCTGACCTGCATACATAAAATAATTACACCACCCATCCACTTATGAAACAGAAAATTATGAACCCAACTGCAATGGCCTAATCTCTGTAATAATATTTTTTCATATTTTTAGTTGATTATTCATGACACTGCCGGTGAAGAGAGATTCAAATCAATTATGCAATCTTATTTCAGAGATGCAGATATTGCCTTGCTCGTGTACGATATTACTGATGGTAATTCATTCCAGAATGTCAGAAACGAATGGAAAAAAGACGTCATAGAAGGTAGCAACAACGAAGACATATGTATGATATTAGTCGGCAATAAAACTGATAAGGGAGACCAAAGAATCGTTGAATCGTGTGATGTAGCGACATATGCTCGAGCAAACCGTATGCGTTTCATTGAGGTGTCTGCTATGAATCCAGATGATTACGATCTTTTATACGGAGAGATTTTAAGAGCTGTTGAGGAAGTACTTGATAAAGGAGGATCTTTTGTGTATAGAAATATACAACCAGGTGCCAATATACGGTTGCATGAACCTCAACCTCAGGCAGGACATCAACAGCAAGAACCTCAGGAAGGACGTCAACAGCAAGAACCTCAGGAAGGACGTCAACAGCAAGAACCTCAGGAAGGACGTCAACAGCAAGAACCTCAGGAAGGACGTCAACAGCAAGAACCTCAGGAAGGACGTCAGCAGCAAGAACCTCAGGCTAAGAGTCGGTGTAGTTGTTGATATGTAATGGAGCGAATCATTTTAATACTACTTTATAGATTATTTACTGTGTGTTTATTATTATTTTTTATTTTTTGTATTTTTTATTTTTATATTTTTATTATGTGGGAGTGGCTCAACGAAAAGATATGGCTACCAGGTCTACTTCTAGAGACACAGGAAATAAGATCAAAGTAATTTAATTCTCTGTTCGAGCCACCGTGCTAACTGAAGCTCTTTTGAACAGGTGATCCTGGTAGGTGAAAGTGGTGTTGGGAAAACATCGATATACAAGCTCTACGAGTATGGAACAGTTTCGGAGGTTGCCTGGCCACCAACACTAGGTGTATACACCAATGTGGTTAACCTGGTCGTTGGAAATACTCATCAAACAGTTGAGGTACTATTCAGGCTGGCCATGATTAAAATTGGGATTGTATCAGATGATCAATGTAGGAGGGCATTAAAGCATAAAATTTTGGAATCAGTCCCCCCACTTTTTCATGGGTTATAGGAATCAGCCTCCCCAAATTTTTAACTATGACTTTTGGGCGTAATTGGTGATATTGCATTGGCAGAATTATGTAGCTTAAACCTTAGCCAGACTACTTAAACCTTTTACATAGGATCAAGTATAGTATCAAATTGAGGGCTCAATTTTTTTAATGTTTTTAGATGCCATTAACTCTTATTTTTATAGTTGGAAATGGCTGATACAGGTGGAAGTGAGCAGTTCAGATCAATTGCAACACAATATTACAGAAATGCTGATATCGCTTTCTTAGTATATGATATAACTGATTCGAATTCAGTACAGCACATAGAAGATTGGGTAGAAGACATTAAGGAATACAGTGAAAACAATGACATAAAAATAGTATTGATTGGCAATAAGTTAGACATGGTGAAAGCACGTAAAATCAAACAAGAAGACATGTCAAGCTATGCTAAAGCAAGAGACATGTTCTTCATTGAGATGTCTGCTAAAAATGCTGATCACCGCCGATTAGTTGATGACCTCATTCGAGAAGTTGCTAGCTTTATTATGGGGCAACGAATAAGAAGCAGAAGTATTGTCACTGCTCCAAATAATCCTCCAGATAACTCTCCTCCTGTTCCTTCAAGTGATCATTCTCATAATCCTTCTGCTACTGATCTTTCTGCTTCCAAACCGGCAACTGAAATTATAAAATTACATGAAAATAATGGAGAAGATGGCAAGCAAAAAGTGGAACAAAAGAAATGCAAATTATGTTAGATAGTAGTAACACCAAGAGTACATTTTTTATGTTGTAGAATTATAATGCATTAGATCAAGAGTAGATGATTAGATCTATAGAGTGGGCGAAACTAATATAAACGGGTGACGGGCGTGGCTATTCAAAATCGCTGAGTCAGCATTCAGCACAGGAACAATGAATGGTCTTGAAGATGAAGTTAGTTTATTCATTTTGTGTGAGCTCTATGTCCTATCTTTATTAGTCAGGACTACATGAAGAGAATCAAGAACAGCCTCCGTCTTATGACACGCTCAGTGAAGCGCCGCCGCCTCCCTACTCCCCTTCATTTATAAATTCCAATAGAATATTTGGTATATTACTACTAAAACTATGAAAAGTTATTATTTGTGTGTAATTAGTTGTATAGCAGAATTAGTAGTAGCATGGGGCTGGTTGTTTGGAGTTTGTTGTATTAAAACGACACACAATGCTGTTGATGCATTGTCACTGTGTACATTATGTAGATGTACATGTACATATGTAGATTTGTAATGGGCAAAGTCACACCTGTCTATAATGTATGACGTTGGCCGAGCAAAACCAACTAAGACAAGTTGAGTCTATTTGTATTGCCTAATTTAATCAGTAAAGAAGCACTTAATTTGACTTAAGTAACTCATATAAGCCTATCTCTCATTGGCTTGACAATGATATCTCCAACTGTACCTACATTTTAACTTTCATTTATAATAATAATTCTTATGTTACCTCCTGTAGATATACCCGAAGGCCCTCCAGACTACTTCTCACTCTTTAGCTCGCGTATACAAGAGGCAAGACGAGACTCAAGCACTTGCTGCGAATTCGTCACAAAGATCATCCAGACCTTACTCATTCTTGGTAAGTGATAAATAATTACGTAATAATGATAGTCATTTTTGTTTATAGTTGGTGTTGTCATTCTATTTATTATTTTAATGTCAGTTCCATTTGCTATGCTAGGAGTTGGTAAGCTAATGCAATGCTATAGAGTCATGATATCACCATGTGTATTTGTATAGGCTCTGCTTATTATGGTCAGTGTTCTATAGAGCCACTAATCCCAATCTTCATGATAGTATTCGGCTTGTGTGGGATATTGAAAAGCACAGAAATACTCATCAAGCACCTTATCGTCTGCTTCAAATGCTCTTGTATTGCCAGGTGGAAAAGACACTCAAAACTAAAGTACCTTTTTATCGTGTGGAGGGTCCTAGATGCAGTCTTTAATCTTGTATCCCTTGCTTGGGTGATAGCTGGGAGCTACTGGATATTTCATGTGTATGGTGAACTCCAAGAGAGTGGATTTGATAAGGAATTGTGTCACCCGGTCTTGTACAAATTTGCATTTGGGATGATGATATCTTGTTATATTGTCGTTGGGCTTACCTGCTGCTGCGTGTGCGGCTGTAGCTTGTGTCAGAATCCTCCACCGCGAGAGGAAGAGGATAGGAGGAGGGGGCCAAGAAGAGAAGGGGAGAGACGTGAAGGAGAGGAGGGATCAATGGGGAATGGCCATAGCAATGGTCATAGTACTGATATTGAAATGAGAAGGTTTGGTGCTACTAATGGAGTCTATGAAGAGAGAGTTGATTCACCAGTTTCAAATTAAATTTTTTCAACCGTCTATTTTTGTCTGTCTTCCTAATCATTGGTATTCATTTCATGCACTCAATTCTTAAATCTCATCATTCTATTTTGTTTTTAATTTATGATTCATCAACAACTATAATTAAGTTAAAACACCCACGCAATAATTTTATTTATAACCTTTTATAACTAGTTTATATATAAGCCACTTCAATCTTGCAAATTGTAATATTTTGTTTTCTCCCAAGCATTCACAATGGATAATAGCAGTACTGGTAACAGCAATGCTTCAGATATTGGTTGCTCCTTTGATGCTAATCTGTACAAGCAGATCACAGGCTCCATCCTTTTTGCTATAGTTTGGCCATTTGTTGTACTTGATATGAAATGGTTTCCTCTTGGAAGGCCAGCTGCTGCTCTAGTTGGAGCTGCTTTAATGGTACTGTTTCAAGTCATCTCTCAAAATGATGTCTACGAGATTGAGGGACAGAAGGGAAACTTGCAAACCATGTTCCTCCTTGTTGGAATGATGATGCTTTCGCATTATTACGACCGCGAAGGAATTCTAAAGGTAGTGATGCTCAAAATATTTGGTCAGAACAAACCGTTTCGATCGATAATGTGGAAAGTTTGTTTGATGTCTGCTTTGCTGGCTTCTTTCATTACAAACGATGCTACCTGTCTTGTTGTTACGCCCCTCATTCTTACCGAATTCATCAAACAAAAGCGTGACACCTGGGAGCTGTTACCATTGTGTCTTAGTATAGCAACATCTGCTAACATTGGGAGTTCTGCTACAATATTTGGCAATCCACAAAATGCTTTCATTGCTTCTAAAGCTGGCGTTACATTGCTTCAGTTTTTCATAGCAGAGCTCCCAGCAGCTATATTAGGTTTGTCACTTAATATTGGGTTGATATACTTGTTTATATTTATACGCAAGAAGATCCTCAAAAGTAAAGAAGGCGAATTGCACATTACTGAACCATCCATTGATAACAGAGATACTGCAAAGCATGGTGGGCAAATATTTATCTTGGAGGAAAGGGAAGCAATTGCAAAGGGTTTTGAAGGTCCAGAGGACCCAACCACTGCCTCTATATGTAGTGGGGTTTCACTGCATAAAGAGAGAGAAGCAAATGCAGCAAGTTTTGATCAATGTGAGGAAACAGGTGGCACATCAGGGATAATGCACAAGAGCACCGGTTTGCCTGCTGGAATGGCTACAAGTTCAGAGAATGTTAGTAAAGATGAAACAACAATTAATAAAACATTTCCTGATAGCGTTACAAAAGGAAGTTCATTTCAAGATGAAGCTAATAATAACAAGGATAAGAATAAAAAGTTTCGCGCTATTCGTCAAAAAATATTTCTCGTTTGGCTAATTTTTGTGACTCTACTGATGATTGTGTTACTTGCAATACCACATTCAGTGGCTGACTTCAATCTTGGCTGCATTCCATTGGCTGCTAGCATTTTTACAATGCTGATGGACACTATTCTCAATCGCAAGTATGCATATGATGTCATGGTCAAGATCGATTGGACTGTCATTCTAATGTTCATGGGTCTCTTTGTTTGGCTCAGGGGCTTTCAAAGCACCTGCTTTCCCTATATTGTTTTCAAGCACCTAGCCCCATACATGAACCTACATACAATTGAAGGAGTGCTACTATTCTCTGTCTTTGTCATTATTGGTTCTAATATATTTAGTAATGTCCCACTGGTCATACTCATTGTTAATCGTATCTCTGGTCTCTGTGGTGATGCACCTTGTGAAGGACCATTAGGCGGGCTATTGCTGGCATGGATCTCAACCATAGCTGGCAATTTCACTCTCATTGGAAGCGTTGCTAATCTAATTGTTGCAGAGAAGGCTCGTAGTTCGGCTAACTTCCGTGTCACATTTTTGGGCTACCTTGTTTTTGGGTTTCCATCTACATTGCTCATTATCTACGTATGCCTCCCTGTTGTTTATTACATGGGACTGCTTGCTGCTAAAATTTAATTTTTTTGTTTTTAATTAGATCTATTTGCTGCCCTTAATTAGTTAATGCTGTTCAGAACAAGCTGCTTTACAAAACATTAGTTGTAATCTACTAATTAGACATTAGAAGTGCAATTGATAGCAATAACTGGGGAGGCGTAACTAAAATTAACTAATTAGCTATGATTAGACACGCTAGGCTCAGCTCGTTAAATGGCTGCTTTCTTCACGAGATCAACATATTGCATTGTAACTGGGGCCAGTGGTGGTTTAGGAAGAGAATTAGCAATCCAATTATCACGAGAATGGTCTGCTACGGACTCTACTATTGTTCTTGTCTCGCGTAATATTTCTAAACTCCAGGAAACTAAAGAAATGATAGCCAAATCAAGCCCTATCAATGTTACCATTGTCCCAGCTGACCTTGGGGATCTTGCTTGCTTGTCTGACGTATCCACAAAAATACTGGATGGATACAGCTCTGAAAAATACAACCAAGCAGCCATTTTTCACAATGCAGGTTCTGTGGGTGATATTGTTACTCCTACTGCAGATCAAACTGATCCTGCTGCCATTGCTCAGTATCTCACTGCTAACTATACTTCAATGTGGATTCTAACCACACGCTTCCTCTCTTACGTCAAAACTGGACCAAGATTTATTATGAACATGTCATCGATGGTCGCAAAGATGCCTTTTGGTGGTGGCGTTGTTTATGCATCAATTAAAGCAGCTAGGAATGTTTTTCTTGAAGCATTGGCTATTGAGCATCCAGATGTTAGGATGCTCAGTTACAGCCCTGGTTCTTGTGATACCAACATGTTTCGTACTGCCAAGAATGAGGCTGGTTTTGCTTCAACTAAAGCTTTTTTGGAAGATCTTGTTCGTAATAATCAAGTTCTCAGTGTAGCTGAATCAATCAGTAAACTAATGGATTTGATCAAGGAAGACAAGTTTAAGAATGCTGCAATTGTTGACTATTATGATTGATAGACTATTAGACTATATTAGGTATATTTTTATAATTTTATATAGTTTTTTCTGATTGAATAATGATAAATTTTGATAATTATCATTGTATTGACATTATCGATCGCGAGGAATTGGGGTGTGTCTTCGGTTTAACATCATGGCTGCTTTCTTCAACAGATCAACATATTGTATTGTAACTGGGGCCAGTGGTGGTTTAGGAAGAGAATTAGCAATCCAATTATCACGAGAATGGTCTGCTACGGGCTCTACTATTGTTCTTGTCTCGCGTAATGTTTCTAAGCTCGAGGAAACTAAAGAAATGATAGCCAAATCAAGTCCTGTCAATGTTACCATTGTCCCAGCTGACCTTGGGGATCTTGCTTGCTTATCTGACACATCCACAAAAGTACTGGCTGGATACAGCTCTGAAAAATACAACCAAGCAGCCATTTTTCACAATGCTGGTTCCCTGGGTGATATCATTACTCCTACTGCAGATCAAACTGATCCTGCTGCCATTGCTCAGTACCTCACTGCTAACTATACTTCAATGTGGATTCTAACCACACGCTTCCTCTCTTGCGTCAAAACTGGACCAAGATTCATCATGAACATGTCATCGCTTGCTGCAAAGATGCCTTTTGGTGGCGGTGTAGCTTATGCATCAATTAAAGCAGCTAGAAATGTTTTTCTTGAAGGATTGGCTATTGAGCATCCAGACGTTAGGATGCTAAGTTACAGCCCTGGTCCTTGTGATACTGACATGTTTCATGCTGTTGGGAATGAGGCTGGTTTTGCTTCAACTAAAGCTAGCTTCCAGGACCTTGTTCGTAATAATCAAGTTCTCAGTGTAGCTGAGTCAATTAGCAAACTGATGGAGTTGATCAAAGAAGACAAGTTTAAGAATGCTGCCATCATTGACTATTTTGATTGATAGACTATTCTATAATGATAATTTTATTTGGGGTGTGTCTTCCATTTAACATCAACATCATGGCTGCTTTCTTTACCAGATCAACCTATTGCATTGTAACTGGGGCCAGTGGTGGTTTAGGAAGAGAATTAGCAATCCAGTTATCACGAGAATGGTCTGCTACGGGCTCTACTATTGTTCTTGTTTCTCGTAATGTTTCAAAACTCGAGGAAACTAAAGAAATGATAGCCAAATCAAGTCCTGTCAATGTTACCATTGTCCCAGCTGACCTCGGGGATCTTGTTTGCTTATCTGACATATCCACAAAAATACTGGATGGATACAGCTCTGAAAAATACAACCAAGCAGCCATTTTTCACAATGCTGGTTCCCTGGGTGATATCACTACTCCTACTGCAGATCAAACTGATCCTGCTGCCATTGCCCAATACCTCACTGCTAACTATACTTCAATATGGATTCTAACCACACGTTTCCTCTCTTGCATCAGAACCGGACCAAGATTCATCATGAACATGTCATCAATTGTTGCAAAGATGCCTTTTGGTGGTGGCGTTGTTTACGCATCAGTAAAAGCAGCTAGGAATGTTTTTCTTGAAGGATTGGCTATTGAGCATCCAGACGTTAGGATGCTAAGTTACAGCCCTGGTCCTTGTGATACTGACATGCTTCTTGCTGTCAAGAATGAGGCTGGTTTTGCTTCAACTAAAACTGGTATGGAAGACCTTTATCGTAATAACAAAGTTCTCACTGTGGCAGAATCGATCAATAAACTAATGGATTTGATCAAGGAAGACAAGTTTAAGAATGCTGCCATGATTGACTATTTTAATCGAGTTTGATGTACTATTTTGATTGATTTATCGATGATTTGATGCATTATTGTAGTAGTGACAATGATTTTATGATTATACAAAGGCGTGGCTGCTGCGGTGCTGCCACACGTGCAAAGCGAAGTATGGATGATGAGGAAAATGATCAAGAACTTTGTGAAGATGACGTTGTGGAAATCATCTCTTTAAGTGAAGGAGAAGAGCAACCCATTGAAGGTAAAAGAAACCTAAAAGACTTACTGTGCCATTTTTAAAATGATTTATATACATGTGTAGATCCAGGGGCGTAGCTGAGGTAGGGCCTGAGGGGGCCTGGGCCCTACCATCAAAGTGGCCTTATAATTATATTCATTGAAATTATAACCCAAAAGATTATATTCATTGTTCTTACAATAACAAAAGGGGGTGGCTGATAACCACAGCTCTTTTTAAAGCTATATACAATGATAATTTCACTCTGATTTTGCTCAGCTTGCAGGAAAATGCTTCCATTTTGCTACGTAAAAGGGGTGTGGTCAAAATCGCGGCGCGCTTCGCGCGCCATTTTGTCTCCTTGCCCTACCATCACCCAAGGTCCAGCTACGCCCCTGTGTAGATCTAGAGGCTGATTTAGATGGAGTAGAACTTTCTCATGACAAAGATGGCTCGGATGATGAGTACAGTATGGGTGTAATGGTAATACAGCCATTACGCGATGACTCCATTACCTGTTTAAATGAACACAGAGGTAGAACTATAAAATTGGAGGATTTATATTGTAGAAAATAATACCTTAGGTCCAGTATTTGCCATCGATGTTAATTCCAATGCAAGTTTGGTAGCATCTGGTAGTCAAGATGATAGAGCACTCGTCTGGAGCACAAGCGATAAGAATGTGGTTTTTGAATGCAATGGTAAAGGCACTGTGTACTGATATATTATATTACTAATTGAACTTTGTCTTATTACCCTTTTACTAGAGCTCTTCAAGTAATGTATGCATTTTACATATAATTTTCTTTTGTTTATTTTTTAAAGGTCATACGGAGTCAGTTACTTGTGTCTGTTTCAGTCACGACGACAAGTATCTAGCGACGTCAGATCTAGCAGGCCTTGTACAGGTCTGGCAATGCAGTAATGAGAAGTGTGTGTGGAGATTTGACGCATCAAATGTAGAAGTAGGTTAAGCAAATAAATTGAAATAATGCCTACATGTATTAAAGAAGAAAGATTATAATTATTACCTAATGATATTATATTATAAAATGATATTACATTGCACATTTTTATTTTTTAGTGGTTGATGTGGCATACTGGTGCCCATGTGTTGTTAGCTGGTACTACTGATGGGGATGGTTGGATATGGAGGATACCCTCAGGTGATTGCAAGACCATACCATCGCACGGCTCTGGGAATATGGCTGCTGTACTAATGCCAAATGGTAAGACAGTGATTTGTAGTGTATAAAATGGCTGCCTTATGTGTATTGTACACTGTGACCTTAGGGAAATCCTCTTGCTTTGGTTATTCTGATGGCTCTGTTAAGTTATGGGATCTTAAAACAGTCTCACTAGTGTCTTCTTATAGTAAGCCACACAATCAGTGTCATACTTGTCATTATAATAATGTGAATAAATAGCTTAATACTATTTTTCTGTTTGTAGATCCTTCACCCAATCAAATCTCTCCTGTCACATGTCTTTCAGTTCATCCTGATGCTAGTGTACTAGTTTCTGGTCATATTGACGGAACGGCAAGACTCTTCAATGCTAGCAATATGAAAGTATTACTAAAGATGATAATTGATTACTAATGATGCTTTTTCAATATTTGAGAAATGCCGGTTTTTTCCGAAAAATGGCTCCAAAATCACTCCCAATTTTTATTACATTTTCTGATGCATATTGATGTCCTTATGCTCTGTAGAAAGTTTGAGCTTATTTTGACTTGAATTTTTCGAGTTATGGCCATTTTAAAAAATATGCCGGTTTCTGAAAATTTCCCTGTACTATAGCCCATGGTTTTTTCCAAAAATTGGCTCCAAAATCACCTCCAATTTTTATCACATTTTCTGATTCATATTGATGTCCTTATGCTATGTAGAAAGCTTGAGCTGATTCCGACTTAAAATTTTCAAGTTATGGCCATTTTAAAAATTGGCCAAAATCTGAAAAATACCCTGTACTATAGCCCATGGTTTTTTCTGAAAAATGGCTCCGAAATCACCCCCAATTTTTATTACATTTTCTGATACATATTGATGCCCTCATGTTCTGTAGAAAGTTTGAGTTGATTCTCGCTTAAAATTTTCAAGTTATGGCCTTTTAAAAAACTAGGTGAATGTAAACATTGATTGAAATTTTTTGACTAAGATTAATCAATCTAGCTCTTAGTTTATATTTTCTCTTTTTTATTAATTTTTTATTTTTCATTTA